GGGAATGGGGGAATGGGAATGGGGGAATGGGAATGGGGGAATGGGAATGGGGGAATGGGAATGGGGGAATGGGAATATGGGAATGGGGGAATGGGAATGGGAATGGGGGAATGGGAATGGGGGAATGGGAATGGGTGTGGCAGTGGCCCCGCTTCCCGGGCAGCTGGGAATGAACAATGGGAATGGGAACGGCAAGAATTGGAAAGCCGGGAATGGCGGGAACGGTCAGCCCGGAATAACAACGGGAACGGGAATGCCGGAGGGATGGGAATAGGGGAAGGGCAGAGCAACGGGAGTGGGAATAGCAGGAGTGGGAATGGCGGGAGTGGCAGGAATGGGAAAACTGGGAATGCCAGGAATGGCGGGAACGGGAATGGTGGGAATGAGAACGGGAATGGGAAGAATTGGGAAGGTGGGAGTGCTGGGAATGGCAGGAATGGGAACAGTGGGAATGAGACTGGCAGGAGTTGCTGGGAATGGGAACGGTGGGAATGGGAATGGCGGGAGTGGGAAAGCCGGGAATGGCGGCCCCGGCGGATCCCAGCGGGAATTTGGGCTTTTCCCGGCAGGGCTGGAAGCAGGAGCGCGTGGTGGCGGAATTCTGGGATGGGAAAATCGTCCTGATCCTTCCCGGAGATCCCAAGCACGTCCTCAGGAAGGTACCGGCCCTTCCTCGGGAATTCCCAAATCCCAGAGGGATCCGATCCCCAAATCCCAAATCCCAGCGGGATCCGATCCCCAAATCCCGGATCCCAGCAGGATCCGATCCCCAAATCCCAAATCCCAGCTGGATCCGATCCCTGATCCCGAAATCCCGAAATCCCGGTTCCCTGGGCAAACCCAGCCTTCCTTTGGGAACAAATCCGGCTTTCCTGGGAATTCCCCGTGCCCGTCCCGCCTCCTCCGGGAATTCCTGGTCCCAGTCTTGTTTTCCCAGGAATTCCCAGCCTCCATCCCATTTTCCCTGGGAGTTCCTGGAGCCCATCCCCCGTTTCCTGGGAATCCCCATCCCAAATTCCCTGGGAATTCCCAGGAATCCCCACCCCACTTTCCCTTTGGAATTCCCAGTTAATTCCTGGCATTCCATTGGTTAATTCCCAGTTAATAATTCCCGGCATTCCCTGTTAATTATTCCCTGTTAATTACTCCCAGTTAATTATTCCCGGTTAATTATTCCCCGTGGCATTCCAGCAGGTAATTCCCAGTTAATCATTCCAGGTTAATCAATCAATTGTTTCTGGTTAATCAATCATTAATTCCTGGTTAATCATTAATTCCTGCTTAATCAATCAATCAGTCCTGGTTAATCGATCAATCAGTCATTAATTCCTGGTTAATTAACCAACCAATCATTAATTCCCAGTTAATTAACCAATCAACCAATCATTAATTACTGGTTAATCAATCAATCAATCAATCATTCATGGTTAATCAGTCATTAATTCCCAGTGAATCAATCAATCAGTCATTCCTGGTTAATCAGTCATTAATCATTCCTGGTTAATCAATGAACCAACCACTCATGAATTCCTGGTTAATCAATCAATCAATCATTCCTGGTTAATCAATCATTAATTCCTGGTTAATCAACCAGTCAATCAGTCATTAATTCCTGATTAATCAGTCAACCAACCACTCATTAATTCCTGGTTAATCAATCAATCAGTCATTAATTCTCGGTTCAATAACCAATCACTCATTAATTGATTCCCGGTGAGTCAATCCCTCCCCCGATCCCTCCCTCACTCATTAGTTAATTACTGATGTGTTAATGAACTCTTTCATTAAGTAGTTAATTAACGGATCGTTAACGACTCTCCTCCAGGGCGTTTGGCTCTGGCCAGTTAATCAGCTGATGATGTGTCGATGAACTCTCACTAATTAGTTAATTAATTACTGGTTAATGACTCTCCTCAGGCTCGTTTGGCTCTGGCCAGTTAATCAGCTGATGATGTGTCGATGAACTCTCACTAATTAGTTAATTAATTACTGGTTAATGACTCTCCTCAGGCTCGTTTGGCTCTGGCCGCGGCTGATCCCGAGCTGGGCCTGGGGGGAGGGGCCCCCGCGAGCCCCCGGCGGCGCCTGCTGCTCTTCCTGGGGGGGGGAGGGGCCCTGCAGGGCTGCCTGGAGGCCACGCCCATCACACAGGTCAGTCATTAATTCATTAATTAACTCATTAACCCCTTCATTAGCTCGGTAATTGGCTCATTAGCTGGGTAATTAGCTCATTAACTCGGCCGCCTGCTGCTCTTCCTGGGGGGGGGAGGGAGGGGCCCTGCAGGGCTGCCTGGAGGCCACGCCCATCACCCCGGTAATTAACTCCCCCCTTAATTAATTCATTGCCTTGTTAATTAGCTCGTTAATTGGCTCGGTAGCTCATTAATTAAGTTGTTAATTAGCTCAGTCCCCTGCTGCTCTTCTTGGGGGAATTCCCCATCCCCATTCCCACTTTTCTTTTTCCATTCCCACTTTTCCCAACCCCATTCCCTCTTCTCCCGCTTTTCCCATTCCCTCTTTTCCCATTCCCACTTTTCCCACTCCCGCTTTTCCCACTCCCGCTTTTCCCACTCCCGCTTTTCCCACTCCCGCTTTTCCCATTCCCGCTTTTCCCACTCCCGCTTTTCCCACTCCCGCTTTTCCCACTCCCGCTTTTCCCATTCCCGCTTTTCCCATTCCCGCTTTTCCCATTCCCGCTTTTCCCATTCCCGCTTTTCCCATTCCCATTCCCACTTTTTAATTCCCACTTTTCCCATCCCTGCTTCTCCCATCCTCATTCCCACTTTCCCTTCCCTCTTCCCACTTTTCCCATTCCCGCTTTTCCTTTTCCATTCCCACTTTTCCCAATCCCATTCCCACTTTTCCTTTTCCATTCCCACTTTTCCCATTCCCACTTTTCCTTTTCCATTCCCACTTTTCCCAATCCCATTAACACTTTTCCCATTCCCGCTTTTCCATTCCCGCTTTTCCCAACCCCATTTCCACTTTTCCCATTCCTGCTTTTCCTTTTCCATTCCCACTTTTCCCAACCCCATTCCCGCTTTTCTTTTCCCATCCTCATTCCCACTTTCCCTTCCCTCTTCCCACTTTTCCCATTCCCGCTTTTCCTTTTCCATTCCCACTTTTCCCATTCCCACTTTTCCTTTTCCATTCCCACTTTTCCCAATCCCATTAACACTTTTCCCATTCCCGCTTTTCCATTCCCGCTTTTCCCAACCCCATTTCCACTTTTCCCATTCCTGCTTTTCCTTTTCCATTCCCACTTTTCCCAACCCCATTCCCGCTTTTCTTTTCCCATCCTCATTCCCACTTTCCCTTCCCTCTTCCCATTTTCCCATCCCCCCTTTTCCCATTCCCACTTTTCCCATCCCCCCTTTTCCCATTCCCGTTTTCCCGCAGGCGTTCCGGGTGCTGCCGGAGCCGTTCCCGGATTCCCGGGATAAGGAGGGTTCCGATTCCGGCTGCCCGCGCTGGGCGTGGCGCTGCCGGCGGGATCCGGAGCCGGCCGTGTGCGGGATCAGCCGGATCTGGGTGCTGCCGGCACGGAGGCGCCGCGGGATCGCCCGCAGGATGCTGGACACGCTCCGGTGGGAAATCCGGGAATGGGCCGGGAATGTGGGAATGGGGAATGCTGGGAATGCTGGACACGCTCCGGTGGGAAATCCGGGAATGGCCTGGGAATGTGCCGGGAATGATGGAATGTGGGAATGCTGGACATGCTCTGGTGGGAAAACCGGGAATGATCCGGGAATGTGGGAATGGGGAATTCTGGGAATGCTGGACATGCTCCGGTGGGAAATCCGGGAATGAGCTGGGAATGTGGGAATGCGGAATGCTGGGAATGCTGGACACGCTCCGGTGGGAAATCCGGGAATGAGCTGGGAATGTGGGAATGCGGAATGCTGGGAATGCTGGACATGCTCCGGTGGGAATCCTGGGAATGGGCGGGGAATGAGCCGGAAATGATGAAATGTGGGAATGCTGGACATGCTCTGGTGGGAAAACCGGGAATGATCCGGGAATGCTGGGTGTGCGCCAGCTGGAAATTTGGGAATGATCCAGGAATGCTGGGAATGCTGGACACGCTCCGGTGGGAAATCCGGGAATGAGCCAGGAATGTGGGAATGGGGAATTCTGGGAATGCTGGACACGCTCCGGTGGGAAATCCGGGAATGGCCTGGGAATGTTGGGAATGCTGGGAATGGGGAATGCTGGGAATGCTGGACATGCTCCGGTGGGAAATCCGGGAATGGGCCGGGAATGTGGGAATGGGGAATGCTGGGAATGCTGGACATGCTCCCGTGGGAAATCCGGGAATGGCCCGGGAATGTTGGGAATACTGGGAATGGGGAATGCTGGGAATGCTGGACATGCTCCGGTGGGAAATCCGGGAATGATCCGGGAATGCTGGGAATGGGGAATGCTGGGGACGCTCCAGTGGGAAAACCGGGAATGATCCGGGAATGCTGGGTGTGCGCCAGCTGGAAATTTGGGAATGATCCAGGAATGCTGGGAATGGTGGATGCACTCCGGTGGGATAAACTAGGAAAAATGGGAATTGGGAATGCTGGATGTGCTCCAGTAGGAAATCCGGGAAAAATCCGAGAATGGGGGAATGCTGGGGATGAGGAATGGGGTGGGGAAAACTGGGAATGCCGGGAGCTGGGAACGCTGGACACGCTCCAGTGGGAAATCGGAATGCCGGGAAAAACGGGAGTGGGGACGGGAAACTGGGAATGGAGAGGGAAAAGCGGGAATGGGAAACGGGACTGGAACCAAACTCCTCCATCCATCCCAAATTCCAGCGGAAACTCCGGGACTTCCAACCCCGCCCTTTCACACCTCTCCCGGCTCATGGCCAATCCCGGTTTTCCTGTTTCCAATCCCGGTTTTTCCCGCAGTTTTCCCGTTTCTAATCCCAGTTTCCAATCCCATTTTTCCCGTTTCCAATCCCGTTTTTCCTGCGTTTTTCCCCGTTTCCAATCCCAGTTTCCAATCCCATTTTTCCTGTTTCCAATCCTGGTTTTTCCCCGTGGTTTTCCCATTTCCAATCCCAGTTTCCAATCCTAGATTCCAATCCTGTTTTTCCAGTTTCCAATCCCGTTTTTCCTGCGTTTTTCCTGTTTCCAATCCCAGTTTTCCCATTTCCAATCCTGGTTTTTCCGTTTCAAATCCTGTTTTTCCAGTTTCCAATCCCGTTTTTCCTGCGTTTTTCCTGTTTCCAATCCCGGTTTCCAATCCCATTTTTCCCATTTCCAGTCCCGGTTTTTCCCGTGGTTTTCCAGTCTCCAATCCCGTTTTCCAATCCCGTTTTTCCCGCTGTCCCCAGGCGCACGTTCGTGTTCGGGGCCGTGCTGGATTCCCAGGATTTGGCCTTTTCCGACCCCACTCCGGACGGGCGGAGCCTGGCGGCCGCCTACTGCAACCGGCCCGACTTCCTGGTCTGCAGCTTCCTGCCGGGATCCCAGGGATCACCGGGATCCCTGACATCCCTGGAATCGGCCGGATCGGGATCAGAGGGATCCCCGGGATCAGCGGGATCGGGATCAGCGGGATCCCCGGGATCAGAGGGATCTGCCGGGTCAGGGTCAGTGAAATCCTTGGGATCACCTGGATTGGGATCGGTGAAATCATCAGGATCAGCAGGATTGGGATCTGCGAAATCAGCGGGATCCACTGGATCGGGAGCCGCGGGATCCCCGAAATCAGCGGGATCGGGATCAGCGGGATCAGTGAAATCAGCGGGATCCCTGGAATCCTTGGGATCGGCTGGATCGGGATCCACCAGGTCAGGATCAGGGAGATCGTTGGGATCAACTGGATTTGGATTGGCGAAATCATCTGGATCGGGATCAGTGGGATCAGTGAAACCGTTGGGATTGGCCGGATCGGGAGCCGTGGGATCCCTGGAATCGGCGGGATCGGGATCAGCAAAATCCTTGGGATCGGCGGGATCGGGATCAGCTGGATCCCTGGAATCGACAGGATCAGAGTCTGCGGGATCCACCGGCTCAGGATCCCTGGAATCGTCGGGATCAGCCTGAATTCCCGAGGGGCTGCAGAGGCCGGCATGGATCCGGCCGGGATCCCGAGGGATCCTTCCCTAAATCCCTTCCCTAAATCCCTGGGGAACCCCTCGATCCCTTTGGGAATCCTTCCCTGAAATCCCTCAGGAATCCCCCGTTCCCTTCTTTTCTTCGGGAATCTTTTCCCTCCCCATCCCTCGGGAACCCCTCCCCGCTCCGTTCCACCAGAATTCCTGGAATTCTCCCGGAATTCCTTCGGGATTTCAGCGATTCGGGCTCGGGGATCCCTTCCCGAGGATTTTCCCGCCGGATCAGCACCGGGAGCCGCCGGGGCAGGAAATTCCAGGCGTTTCCTGGGAATATTCCCGGGTTTTGTGAGGCCATCCCGTGCATTTCTGAGCAGATTCCCGGTTTTTATGGAAATATTCCCAGATTTTCTGATGTTCTCCCATAGATTTATCGAAAAATTCCAGAGTTTTATGGAAATATTCCCGAGTTTTATGGAAATATTCCCAAGTTTCGTGATGATATCCCATAGATTGATGGAAATATTCCCGGTTTTTATGGAAGTATTCCAAAGTTTTACGGAAATATTCCAAGGTTTTGTGTTATCCCATAGATTCATGACAATATTCCCAGGTTTTATGAAAATATTCCCAAGTTTTATGGAAATATTCCCAGATTTTCCGATGTTATCCCATAGATTTATAGAAATATTCCAGAGTTTTATGGAAATATTCCCAGGTTTTGTGATATCCCATTGATCTCTGACCAGATTCCCAGTTCTTATGGAAACATTCCAAGGTTTTATGACAATATTCCATAAATTCCTGACAATATTCCAAGGTTTTCTGGTGTTTCCTGGGAACATTCCAAGGTTTTCTGAGGGGTTTTTGTGGGAATATTCCGGGGGTATTTGGAGGATGTTCCCGCCCCCTCAGATTCCCAAAATCCCGGAAAAATCCCAGGGAAAAAATCCACCAGTGCCAGGGAGAGGGAGGGATCCGTTTATTGGGAATGGTCGGGAACGTTGTGGAGGGAAAACTGGGAAAAAAATTCCAAGGGGGAAAAAAGGGAAAATTCCAAGAGAAAAAAGAGGGAAAATTCCAAGAAAAAGAGGGAACAACTCCAAGGAAAAAAAGGGGGAAATTCCAATTAAAAAAGGGGAAAATTCCAATTAAATAAAAGGGAAAAATTCCAAGAAAAAAAAAAAAAAGATGGAAAAATTCCAAGAAAGAAAAGGGAGAAATTCCAAGAAAAAGAGGGAAAAGTCCAAGAAAAAAAAGAGGGAAAATTCCAGTGAAGGAAATGAGGGAAAATCCAAATCCCCAAAAATTTGGGAAAATCCAACTGGAAAAGTTGGGAAAAATTTCCAACCCCAAATTTAGGGAAATCCGACCTAAAAAAAACCCGGGAAAATCCATCCCGGAATTCTGGGAATGGGAGGGACACAATTCCCGGCGCTCCCAGAGCCGGGAACGGCGCCGTGGGAATCCGGGAATAACGGGGGGCTGGAAATCCGGGAATTTGGAGGCTCTAGAGCTGAATCCCTCTGGAAATTTGGGAATGTCGGGGTCTGGAGATCTGGGAATGGCCGGGGCTGGAAATCGAGGAATTTCAGGTTCCAATGCCACGTCCCAGTGGAAATCTGGGAATGTTTGGGGCTCTGGAACTCCGGGAATATTCAGGGCTCCAGAATTCTGGGAATTTCAGGGCTCTGGAACACCAGGAATTTTGGGGGGCTCCAGAGCCCCAGGAATGCCGGGTTCCGGAGCTCCGGGAATTTTGGGGCTGGAACTCCGGGAATTTCGGGGCTCTGGAACTCTGGGAATGTCAGGGTTCCAGAGATCTGGGAATGTTTGGGCTCTGGAACTCCGGAACATCAGGGCTCTGGAAATCCGGGAATGTCGGGGCTCTGGAGCTCCAGGAATGCCGGAGCTCCGTCCCCTCATTCCTGGAATTCCTCAGGAATTCCCACGGGCAGCGGCTCCAGCGCCCGGCAGAGTTGAAAATCCGGGAATGTCAGGGCCGGAACTCCGGGAACATCAGGGCTCTGGAACTCCGGGAATGCCGGGTTCCGGAGCTCGGGGAATGTTTGGGCTCTGGAACTCCGGGAACATCAGGGCTCCAGAACTCCGGGAATTTTGGGGCTCTGGAGTTCCAGGAATCCCGGTGTTCCGGAGCTCCTGGAATCCCGGTGTTCCGGAGCTCCGTGCCCTCACTCCAGGAGTTCCTGTGGAATTGCCATGGGGATCGGCTCCAGGGCGCGGCACAGGGCGGCGGCGGGCGGGCGCTGCCGGGGCTCGGCCGCGGTGCAGGCGCAGAACAATTCCCGCACGGATCCCAGCGCCGGATCCAGCGCCGCCTCCGCCGGCAGCGGCGGCCGCGAGCCCAAACGCGCCCGGAACTGCCGCTCCCAGGAATCCTCGGAATCCTCCGAGCAGCGGGAATCCTCGGAGCGCAGGGAATCCTCCGAGGAGAAGGAATCCTCTGGAATGGAGGCAGAGAGCGGCCGTTGGAGGCGGATCCCGGGAATTCCGGGCCCGTTTGATATTCCCAGTTATCCCAGCCCGGAATCCCAGGAATTCTGGCCCTGATGTTCCCGGGGTGGTCCCAGCCCGGCCTTGGGCGTTCCCAGTATTCTGAGATTCCCGAATCCCAACCCTGTCCCGGCATTCCGGGCCCTTTTCCCAAATCCCGCTCTGCCTCTCCAGGATTGGATCCAGCCCCATCCCGACTCCTCGCTGGGAAGGAATCTTCGGAATTCCCAACTCCAGGAAGGGCCTCCCTTCCCTGTCCCATCCCCAAATTCCATAAAAATCCCTCGGGATGGATCCTGAGTGTCCCTGATCCCAGAATCCCAGGACCCTTTGGGATGGGATCCCTGGACCTTCAATCCCACCCCATTCCAATCCCAGGGTGATCCAACCTTTCCTTGGGCGCTCCAGGGATTCTCTGGGAATTCCTTCCCGAGCTCCCAGCCCCAGCTCCCCTTTCCCAGGGATCCCATTCCCTGCCAGCCCCTCCCCAATCCCATTCCCAATCCCTCCCCAATCCCATTCCCGATCCCAATCCCTCCCCAATCCCATTCCCAGTTCAGTCCGATCCCATTCCCATTCCAATCCAAATCAATTCCCAATCTGATCCCGTTCCCAATCCAATTCCAAATCCAATCCCATTTCCAGTCCTGTTCCCAATCCCATCCCATTCCTTGTTTGACCCTAATCCAATCCAGCCCAATCCAATCCTGTTCCCGATCCCATCCCATTCCTGATCCCAATCCTGTTCCAAATCCCAATCCCATTCCTTGCCTGACCCTAATCCAGTCCCAATCCAGTCCAATCCCATTCCCTGTCTGACCCTAATCCAATCCAGCCCAATCCAATGTGAATCCCATTCCCAATCCCAATCCTATCCTGAATCCCATCCCAATCCCACTCCCAATTCCATCCCATTCCCAATCCCAACCCCATTCCAATTCGCAATCCATTCCCATTTCCACTCCCAATTCCATTCCCAACTCCATTCCCATTCCCAATCCCAACCTCGCTCCCACTCCCACCATCTCCAGATCCCCATTCCCATTATTCCCACCGTTATTCCCGCTGTTGTTATTCCCGCTGTTCCCATTCCCAGTTATTTCGGCTGTTATTCCGGCTGTTGTTCCCGCTGTTATTCCCACTGTTCCTGTTCCCACTGTTATTCCCGCTGTTCCCGCTGTTCCCATTCCCACTGTTATTCCCATTGTTCCCGCTGTTATTCCGGCTGTTGTTCCCGCTGTTATTCCCACCGTTCCTGTTCCCATTGTTATTCCCGCTGTTGTTATTCCCACTGTTCCCGCTGTTCCCATTGTTCCCGCTGTTCCCATTCCCTCTTTTCCCATTGTTCCCCATTCCTGCTGTTCCCACTCCCATTCCGGCTGTTGTTCCGGCTGTTGTTCGCACCGCTGCTGTCGGGCAGGTGGGGCACGCTCAGCGCCAGCATCTCCCACAGCGTCAGCCCCAGCGGGAAAATGTCGGAGCGATCCGAGATGATCCCGCCCGGCTCCAGCGCCTCCGGAGGCAGCCACGGCTCCGTGCCCACGTACGGCTGCTCGGGATCGCGCGCTGCCGACGGAACGCGGCGGGAACGGCGGGAACGGCGTCGGGAACACCGGGAACGGCGTCGGGAACACCGGGAACGGCGTCGGGAACAAAGAGAACAACGCCAGGAATGACGTCGGGAACACCGTCGGGAACAAAGGGAACAGGATTGGGATTGGATGAGGAATGGGATTGGGAATGGATCAGGATGGGATCAGGAATGGGATTGGGAATGGGAATGGATTGGGATTGGGAATGGGATTGGATCACGAATGGGATCGGATTGAGAATGGGATCGGGATCAGGATCAGATCAGGAACTGGATTGGGAACAGGATTGGGAATGGATTGGGATGGGGAATGGGATTGGGGATGGGATTGGGAATGGGATCGGGATCAGGATCAGATCAGGAACTGGATTGGGAACAGGATTGGGAATGGATTGGGATGGGGAATGGGATGGGGAATGGGATTGGGGAGCGATTTGGATCGGGAGTGCATTGGGAATGGGATGGGATTGGGGAGGGTTTGGGAATGAATTGGGATTGGGAATGGGATGGGGAATGGGATGGGGAATGGGATGGGGAATGGGATGGGGAATGGGATCAAGAACAGGATCAGATTGGGAATGGGATCGGATTGGGAACGGGATGGAATTGGGAATGGAATGGGATCGGGAACAGGATCAGATTGGGAATGGGATCGGATTGGGGATGGGATTTGATTTGGATTGGGGATGGAATGGGAATGGGAACGGAATTAGATTGGGATGGGACTGGACTGAGGATGGGAACAGGATTGGGGTGAACTGAGAATGGGATTGGGGATGGGAATGGGAATAGGATTGGACTGGATTGGATTGGGAACATGACTGGAAATGGGATTTGATTTGGAATTGGGAATGGGATTGGATTGAGATTGGGATGGGATTGGATTGAGATTGGGATGGGATTGGGATGGGATTGGATTGAGATTGGGATGGGATTGGGAATGGGGTGGGATTGGGATGGGATTGGGAATGGGGTGGGATTGGAAATGGCGTCCCAGGAAAAGCCGCGCTCCCACAGGAATTCCCAAACCCCTTTTCCCAGGAATTCCGGCCTCCTGGGTGGATTCCCAGAGCCTGGGGGATCCCTCCAGGAGATCCCGGAGCTTCCAGCTCCACAATTCCCAAGGAAGCGGATCCCTTCCCGCATTCCCAAGGAAGCGGCGGCGTTCCCGGGGTTCCGGCACCTTCCAGGTTCTCATCCAGGGCCAGGGCGACTCCGATGTCGCAGATTTTGACGGATTCGAAGGCCCCGCGCACGACGACGTTCGGGGATTTGATGTCGCCGTGGAGCAGCCGCTGCTCCGTGTGCAGGTACTGCCGGAGGGAAAAACAACAGCCGGATAAACAACAACGACAGCCGGAAAAACAACAACAAACAACAGCTGTGGGACAAAACAGCACTGGGAAAAACAACAGCGGGAAAAACAACAACTGTGGGAAAACTAACACTGGGAAAAACAACAGCAACTGCTGTGGGACAAAGCAACAACAGCGGGAAAAACAACAGCCGGATAAACAACAACAGTTGTGGGACAAAACAACACTGTGGGAAAAAAACACCAGGAAAAATAACGAGAGGGAAAAACAACTGTGGGACAAAACAACAGCGGGAAAAACAACAACCACAGTGGGACAAAACAACAACAGCAGGAAAAACGACAACACCAGGAAAAATAACAGCGGGAAAAACAACAACAGCAGGAAAAACAACAACAGCAGGAAAAACAACAACAGTGGGAAGGAAAAACAACAACAGGAACAGCAACAACAGCAGGAAAAAATAACACCAGGAAAAACAACAGTGGGAAAAGTAACAATGGGAAAAAATCGGACACCGGGAAACCCCCCCCGGAGCCACCCTCGGAACCTCGGGATCCGCTCCGAGCCCGGCTCCCCTTTCCCAGGGAATTCCGTCCCTTCCCAGATTTCCCAGCCTGGGGTCAGGCCCAGCCCCATCCCGGCTCCTCTCCAGGGAGGGATTTTGGGAATTCCCGGCTCCAGGAAGGGTCTCCCTTCCCTTTCCCATCCCTGAATTCCATAAAAATCCCTCGGGGTGGATCCTGAGCGTCCTCGATCCCAGAATCCCGGAATTCTTTGGGATGGGATCCGTGGACCTTCAATCCCATCCCATTCCCATCCCAGGCTGCTCCAGCCTTTCCTTGGACGCTCCCAGGGATTCTCTGGGAATTCCTTCCCGAGCTCCCGCCCATCCCTATCCCAACCCCCCCCCAGCACCTGGAAAGCCGCCCTGGCTCCCCCTTTTCCCAGAATTCCACAAGTTTCCCAGAATCCCAGGCTTTTCCTGGAATCCTTGGCTTTTCCCAGTATTCCCAGGATTTTCCCTGCCTTTCCCGCACTCCCAGCATTTCCCGCCCTTGCTCCCAGTGTTGTTCCCGTTTTTCTCCTCATTTTTTCCCCGGTGTTTTTCCTGGCACATTCCCACTCTTTTCCCGGTGGATTCCTGTTATTCCCAGCTCATTCCCGGTGCATTCCTGCCATTCCCACTATTCCTGGTGTATTCCCACTGTATTCCCATTATTCCTGGTTTTGTTCCCGCTGTATTCCTGTTATTCCCAGCTCTGTTCCCGCTGTATTCCTGTAATTCCTGGTGCATTCCCACTGTTACTCCTGCTATTATTCCCATTGTTATTCCCGTTCCCATTGTTGTTATTTCCGTTATTATTCCCGCCGTTGTTTTTCCCGTTCCCATTATTCCCATTGTTATTCCTGCTGTTGTTGTTCCTGTTATTCCCACTGTTGTTGTTATTCCCGCTGCTGTTCCTGCTGTTCCCGTTATTCCCGCCGTTGTTACTCCCGCTGTTATTCCTGTTGTTATCCCCGCTGTTGTTATTCCTGCTGTTCCCGTTATTCCCGCCGTTGTTCCTCCCGCTGTTATTCCTGTTGTTATCCCCGCTGTTGTTATTCCTGCTGTTCCCGTTATTCCCGCCGTTGTTCCTCCCGCTGTTATTCCTGTTGTTATCCCCGCTGTTGTTATTCCTGCTGTTCCCGTTATTCCCGCCGTTGTTCCTCCCGCTGTTATTCCTGTTGTTATCCCCGCTGTTGTTATTCCTGCTGTTCCCGTTATTCCCGCTGTTGTCATTCCCGCCATTCCTATTCCTGCTGTTCCCATTATCATTCCCGTTGTTCCCACTGTTGTTCCCGTTGTTGTTATGCCCGCTGTTACCATTATTACTCCCGTTGTTGTTATTCCCGTTATCATTCCCGCTGTTCCCATTGTTATTCCCGTTATCATTCCCATTGTTATTCCCGCTGTTGTTCCCACTGTTCCTATTGCTATTCCTGCTGTTCCCATTGTTATTCCTGTTGTTCCCGTTATTCCCGCTATCATTCCCGCTGTTGTTGTTCCCGTTGTTGTTGTTATTCCCGCTATCATTCCCGCTGTTGTTGTTGTTCCCGTTGTTGTTGCTATTCCTGCCGCTGTTATTCCCACTATCATTCCTGTTGTTATTCCCGCTGTTCCCATTGTATTCCCGTTGTTCCCACTATCATTCCCGCTGTTGTTGTCGTGGTTCCGGCTGTAGTTGTTGCCGTTACCTGCAGCCCCCGGGCCACGCCCAGCCCGACGCGCAGGACGGCTCCGGCGGGAAAGGCCCCGCGGCCGCGCTCCCGGCGCTCCTGGATCCGATCCCACAGGGAACGCTCGCCCCCGAATTCCATGGCCAGGCAGAGATTCCCGTCGGGAGCCACAGCCAGAGCCCGGTACCCTGGGAATGGTCCGGGGGGAAATCATCGGCCGGGGGAAATATTCCATGGGAAATATTCCGTGGGGAATGATCCGTGGGAAATCTAATCCATGGGAAATCTAATCCATGGGAAATATTCCATGGGAAATATTCCGTGGGGAATTATCCGTGGGAAATCTAATCCATGGGAAATATTCCGTGGGAAATATTCCGTGGGGAATTATCCGTGGGAAATAGAATCCATGGGAAATCTAATCCATGGGAAATATTCCATGGGAAATATTCCGTGGGGAATTATCCGTGGGAAATAGAATCCATGGGAAATCTAATCCATGGGAAATATTCCATGGGGAATGATCCATGGGAAATGTTCCATGGGAAATGATCCATGGGGAATTATCCATGGGAAATGATCCATGGGAAATATTCCATGGGAAATAAAATCCATGGGAAATGATCCGTGGGGAATTATCCGTGGGGAATTATCCGTGGGGAAATCATCTATGGGAAATCCATGGGAAATCTAATCCATGGAAAATAATCCATGGGAAATATTCCATGGGAAATGATTCATGGGAAATCTAATCCGTGGGAAATATTCCATGGGAAATAAAATCCATGGGAACTCTAATCCATGGGAAATACTCTGTGGGAAATCCCTGGGAAATTGTCCGTGGGAAATCTAATCCATGGGAAATTATCCATGGGAAATCCATGGGAAGGGGGGAAATCCCCAGGAATGTGAGAAATCCATGGGAAATCCCTGGGAATGGGAATAAGGGAAATCCCTGGGAGCCAGGAATGGGATTCAGGGAATGGGATCCATGGGATCTGGGAATGGGATTTCTGGGAATGCCATCCCTGGGATCCAGGGAAGGGGGAAATGGGATCCATGGGAATGATAACTGTGGGAATGGGGTTGGATCGATGGGATGGGAATGGGATCCGTGGGAATGGGATCCATGGAATCTGGGAATGGGATTTCTGGGAATGGCATCCCTGGGATCCATGGGAATGGGATGGGATCCATTCCCAGGGCTCCCCCTGCCATTCCCAAGGATCCAACCCCCATTCCCATGGATCCAACCCATTTGCCCTGGATCCCGATCCCCTCATTCCCGGTGTTCCTGCCCCCATTCCCAGGATCCCCGCCCCCATTCCCAGTGTTGGTTCCCGGTGTTCCCGCCCCCATTCCCGCCGTTCATTCCTGGTGTTCCCACCCCAATTCCCGGTGTTGGTTCCCGCTCCCATTCCTGGTATTCCCGGTGTGGGTTCCCGGTGTTCCCGCCCCCATTCCCGGTGTTCCCGGTGTGGGTTCCCGGTGTTCCCGCCCCCATTCCCGGTGTTCCCGGTGTGGGTTCCCGGTGTTCCCGC